TAGGGGCGGGGGAGACCCCAGCCGGTCCGGGAGCCTCTTCCAAATGTCCTCGTGCGCGCGCTTTGCGCGCGCGCGCCGCCGGCGCGTCACCGGAAGTGACGTCACGCGCTGGGCGGGGCCACGCCATTTGAGGGGAAAACAAAGAGTTTTCCCCTCAAATGGCGTGGCCCCGCCCAGCGCGTGACGTCACTTCCGGTGACGCGCCGGCGGCGCGCGCGCACGAGGACATTTGGAAGAGGCTCCCGGACCGGCTGGGCTCTCCCCCGCCGCTACATTTTCGTGAGTTGGCAACCCTAGTGTGTGTGCATGCACCGGGAAGTCATGGCGACCTCTGGTGACTGACCCCTATTGGGGGCCTGGGGGATATTCAAAGAGGTGGCCGAATAAAGCCTGCCCCCGCCTCCCGACTGCTGGTATTCCTTGGAGATCTCCCTTCCAATTACTTGACAGAGTCGACCCTGCTGACGACATTGGGCTTGCCTGGGCTATCCGGGTTAGGGCATGTTAGAAAGGTTTGCTTTCAAGAACCATCAGTGGACACACAATACTAGTAAAAAGCCCAACAGCACCTTTAAGACTAACAAACTTAGCATAAACTTTCGAGAAACACAGCTCTCTTCGTCAAAGCTGTGTTTCTCGAAAGTTTATGCTACAATACAGTTTGTTAGTCTTAAGTGTACTACTGAGCTTTTTATTATTTTGCAGCAACAGACTAGCATGTCTAACTCCTCCAGATCAGTGGACACACAGAGCTCCGTATATGCATCGGCCTCTGCCTGTGGGTTAAGAAATCTGTACGTGAAGATCTGGGTGCACACTTGGTGGATTCCCTTCATGTGCACCAAGGGTGCAGAACAACAGTTCTGCCTGTTTCAGTATCATGTCAAATCTCAGCTGAGATAGCCCCATTCCTGGCCCACCAACGCCACATCTTCAGAAGTAATTCCCCTTAGGAAATGTATTTATTTCCTTTTTACCTCACCCTTCCTCCAAGGAGACTGGGACATCCACACGGTTCATCCTTCCTCTACTTTGTCCTTAAACCAACCTTGTGAAGTAGATTAGGCAGGGAGAGAGTGAGTGGCCCAAGATCACCCAGGGAGCTTCAAGGCAGGAGGTGGACTTTGAGTCTCTTACACTGCACTGGCTTTCCAGTGTTCATCAAGGGGAAGAAGAAGAAGAAGAAGAAGAGGAGGAGGAGGAGGAGGAGGAGGAGGAAAGAGCTCTGACAGGAACTTCTCTTTTTCAAGAACAGCTCTTATCAGAACTACGGCTTGCCCAAGGTCATCCAGCCAGGTGCAAGTGGAGAAGTGGGGAATCAAACCTGGTTCTCCCAGATTAGAGTCTGCGCATTTAACCACTACACCAAACTGGCTCTCCTGTGGTTTCATAAGGGAATTATCTCTGAAATTTGAAAGGCAAGTACACACTCTTTGAAGCCTCTTTAACTCTCAAGGAGCTAAGGAATCCTGAGCATTCCAAGGTGCATTCAAGGGAATATGTTACAGCTAAAAAGGAATGGAGCAGTGGTTGTACAGGATTAACCCACTCAGTCCAGTCCAGGAATGCGAGGGAATCCAGTATTTCAGCACATTAAACAACAAACCACGAGGTAGGCTATACCCTCTCTGGTTTTCAGAACAATTTGCCACCAGAATCTCTTTCAATAGTCCCCCCAACCTGAGATTATAGATTCAAACTCTCAGTTGGCATCTGGGTTTTACACATCAGCAGCTCTACTCAGAGATGCACATTATTTACCCTCCAATGGTAGCGTAAGTGGTCAGCGTCAGCCACAAGATTTAGCCTTGGAGTTCAATTACACCTCAGAAACAATTAGAAATAAGAAGGATCTTTATTCAATACAGAGCATAGCAAACAGACTAGTAGAGGATACTGAAAACAATACAAACCTATGGCGATTTGCCTTAACTACACATTAATGAGATTCATAGTTACCAAATTCAGGAACATCCAACAGTCCAAGACAGTCCAAGGGATTTTAAAGGGAAATCCCATTTTGCACAAGCAGCTCTTTGTTTCCCAAGAGGCAGCAATTCAGGTGCAATAAACAGACAATGGCAAGAGGAGAGAAGAGAGCAAGAGCTAAGAAGTGAGTTAGGCCACATGCTTGTGCAAAAAAAAGGGGGGGATTTCCCTTTAAATCCAAGGGACTCTCAAGAGTCTTCTCCAGCACCATAGTTCAAAAGAATCTATTCTTCGGCGCTCGGCCTTCCTTATAGTCCAACTCTCACAGCCATACATGACTACTAGGAATACCATTGCTTTGACCATGCGGACTTTTGTTGGCAGGGTGATATTTCTACTTTTTATCATGCTGTTTAGGTTCGCCATCGCTTTCCTGCCAAGGAGCAGGCGTCTTTTAATTTCATGGCTGCTGTCACAGTCTGTGGTGATCTGGGATCCCAGGAACGTGAAGTCTGTCACTACTTCCACGACTTCCCCTTCTATTTGCCAAGGAGTGATGGGGTCGGATGCCATGATCTTAGTTTTTTTGATGTTGAGCTTCAAGCCCACTTTTGCGCTCTCCTCTTTTACCCTAAGCAAGAGGCTCTTTAGATCCTCTTCACTTTCAGCCATTAGAGTGGTATCATCTGCATATCTGAGGTTGTTGATCTTTTCCCCAGCAATCTTAATTCCCGCTTGTGATTCATCCAGGCCAGCATTTCACATGATGTACTCTGCATATATATTAAATAAGCAAGGTGACAATATACATCCTTGTCGTACTCCTTTTCCTATGCAAAACCAATCAGTTGTTGCATATCCGGTTCTAACTGTCGCTTCTTGACCCTTATACAGGTTTCTCAAGAGACATGTGAGGTGGTCTGGTACTCCCATCTCTTTAAGGACCTGCCATAGTTTGTTGTGATCCACACATTCAAAGGCTTTAGCATAGTCAATGAAGCAGAAGTAGATGTTTTTCTGGTACTCTCTTGCTTTCTCCATAATCCAACGAATGTTGGCAATTCGATCTCTAGTTCCTCTACCTCTTCGAAACCCAGCTTGTACTTCTGGCAGTTCTCTTTCCACATACTGCTGAAGCATGGCTTGTAGGATCTTGAGCACGACCTTGCTAGCGTGTGAAATGAAATCACTTCAAGCAAAGTAACCCATTCCTTTCCTGAGGCCACAATACCACCAGGCTGGTCTAGGCCAAGCCCTTGCAGCAATGTCAGTGCAGTCCCCAAACAGCTGCTTCCGTGGCAAACCGGCCCTGTAGAGAAGGCCAGGTCTGCGCACGCAAGACCTTGTCTCCCCCACCCCAGCACTTCATGCTTTTGTATATAATTAAGTTACACTTGGACATTAAATATTGTGGAGATGCAGAGGCCACAGCGAAGCACTAATTGGCTCATAAAGAGTCTTCCCTCATAAACAAATTACGGAGGCATTCAGTGCTGCCTGGACCCTGGCCAACAATTAGGAAGGAAGGATCATTTATATTCTACTTTCATTTAAGGCTTGCGCACGCCGGACCCCCAGCCGATGAAGCTGCATAAAGCAAGGTGCGCGTCTGAGTGAGCGTGAGAGAGAGCTGTTCAGTCGCACAGTCGAGTCCGACTCTTTGCGACCCCATGGACCACATCACGCCAGGCCCGCTGTCTTCCGCTGTCCTCTGGAGTTTGCTCAATTTCATGATGATTGCCTCGATGACACTGTCTAACCATGTCATCCTTTGTCATCCCCGTCTTCTTTAACCTTCAGTCTTTCCCAGCATCGGGGTCTTCTTCTCCAGTGAGTGCTCCCTTCTCATTGGGTGGCCAAAGTATTTGAGCTTCAGTTTCATTATCTGGCCTTCCAGGGAACAGTCAGGGTTGATTTCTTTTAGGATTGACTAATTTGATCTCCTTGCAGTCCAGGGGACTCTCAAGAGTCTTCTCCAGCACCATAAATCGAAAGCATCTATTCTTTGGCGCTCGGCCTATTTAGCTCTTTCACTCATGCCGACTAGTTGTGCTAAAAACTAGTCATTTTGGATGAAGCTCTGCATCTCACCACCCGTGTTCCTGTTCCTGCTCCTCGTCTTGACTTCTCGGCTCCTGACCTCGGCTCGTACGACTACGCTCCTAACCTGCACCTCGGACCTCTGACTCTCCGGCTTCTGACTTCTTTGGACTCTGGCTTTGGCGACTAACGGTTGGTGATTTGGACTTGGTCTCTCGGTATTGCTGCTTGCCCGGTCTTGACTTTGGACTGCCTTTGGACTCTCTTGCTCTTGCCTGGCCTGGTACTGTGTTCGTGACACTCTGTCTCTTTCCTGCTGCTGCAGACAGACTGACACGGCCGCCCATCTTGATCTCCTCCCTCAGAAAAGACTGGCTGGGCGATTTTTCCCTGTCAGCAAGGAGATGATCTTCACGTTACGAAGTCATCACTTTTTTTGGTGGAGGAGGTCACACGGACGCACGCTCCAGGGCTCACAGGGAGCAGCAGCTCCCACCCGTTCCCTCTGTGCCACGTTTGTGTTCATAATCTGCCCTGTGAAGCTGCTAGCTGTTCTGGTGCAACAATTACGTTGCTTGCATGGCCGCGTGTAATCCTCATATCCTTTTACTCCAACACGCTGGCCAAGCTATCACCCTGCCCTGAACCAGAAGGCCGCTGAGGGTCTGCCTTCTCTACAGACTGGGACTCATCAGACAAGACCCCCCACGACACCCTGTCAAGAGAGATGATCACCTCTTCAAGAGAGACGGTCACCTCTCTATCAATCAGCCTGACAGCTCAAACATCAGTGGCTGGCCATGTCATACATTTAAAGCAAGAGCCTGTTTCCTGATGTGCCGGCCCAGGTGTTTAAAGAATAACAGGAGGAGAGTTCCATATCAAACGCTGACCCCTCTTCTGCTTTTACCAAGCCGAGATGAAAAGCTTGGGATCCCACCTTTGAATATCAAAGCGTTCCCACTTAACTACTCCCAGATGGGAGGGGGGAGTCTCTGCGAGAATCGTCTTTTGGATCACCCTCCTGATTGGCTTATAGTGGTCAGGGGGTCAGTGCTCCAGTTTCCTATAGCGTTAGCTTATAACCATCTGACACAAGTTTTTTCAAGTGTGGCCGGCGAATACCCTCGGGACCTGTACTGGGCCAGGGACCATCTCGCTCCATCTCCTGCCCGCTGCTGCTTTGTCTCTTGTCGATTTGAAGAATCACAGAATCATAGAGTCAGAAGGGACCTCCAGGGTCATCTAGTCCAACCCCCCTGCACAATGCAGGAAATTCACAAATACCTCCCCTCCACACCCGCCGTGTCCGCTGTTCCACGCCCAGAAGATGACAAAACAAAAACAAAAACTCCAGGATCTCCAGCCAAAGTGGCCTGGAGAAAAAGTGCTTCCTGACCCCAAAGTGGCAATCAGCATTTCCCTGGGCGTGTAAAAAAGGGCCACAAGAGCTAAGCACTGAGGCAACCCTTCCTGCCCTCCCTCCTCATGCTCTGCCCAAGTTCACAGAATCCGCATTGCTGTCAGGTGGCCCATCTAGCCTCTGCTTGAAAACCTGCAAAGAAGGAGAGCCCACCACCTCCCGAGGAAGCCTGTTCCACTGAGGAACTGCTCTTGTCAGGAAGTTCTTCCCAATGTTTAGCCGAAAACTCTTCTGATTTAATTTCAACCTGTTGTAACCTGATTGCCTTCATGTATGTAAGTGTATGTAGGAAGCCAGATTCTGTTATTTTATTGCACCCACTCATCTTTTGCCTTATGTTTAAGCCTGAGCCTCTTTTTTAATCTTTTCAATAAAGCCTGCTGCTTTTATTGGTGTGTTCTACTGAGTGTGTGAGAGTCCAAACCCAGTATCGGTCGATCTATCAGAAGGAGATTTATTCTAGGACCCTGGGCCTGGGGACAGGGGAATCAAATCACCCTTGCAAGGACGTGGTGGGTCGGAAACCCCTTGACACACTCACACGCTGGTACTGAGAAGAGAGAGCTCTGCCATTACTTACTTTAAATTAACGTCCCATTTCATTACGCTCAAGTCGTTGCCCCCCGCTGTGAAGATGTGATGGCCTCCGTAGGAACAGACGAAGTCGGAGACACCTGCTGGGTGGCAAATGAAAGCCGAGGATCTGTGCGGGTTCCCATCGACAGGCAAGATCTGCAGCCCGACCTAGGGAGAAAGACGGGGAAGGTGTCTTGGGCCCAAGGAATTCGTCTAAGCAATCCGCAGCCCAGATGTGCTGGCCCCGTCTCTGGGAAGGAAATCTCCGCTTTTGTTTTCTCTTGCAGAGAAGATGGAGGAGAAACCGCACAGGGCCTCTCTGCGGCATGTAAGGGAGACTGCTGTGGAGGCTTACGGAGGGCAGCAGGCCAGGAAGAGTGACTCCTTGGCAGCTTCTCAATGGCCCTGTGTCTGTAGCTACCAAAGGCTGAATTATACAAGATCCATAACTAGGCATTTTTAAAAAGCCCATTCGCAGCCTGAGGCAGCTTCTTGGAATAGTGGGGGAAAGTTCCTGGTGGGAGTGGGCGCGTAATGCTTGTCTCCTACGCTTCTTCCACAATACAAGTAGCCAAAGCTACATTTAGCTCCACGGGTGGGGAAAAGAAGAAGAGAAGAAGAAGAGATTGGATTTATACCCCGCCCTTCACTTGGGAGTCTCAGAGCGGCTTACAATCTCCTTTCCCTTCCCCTCCCCACCACAGACACCCTGTGAGGTGGGTGGGGCTGAGAGAGCTCTGACACAAACTGCTCTTTTTCAAGGACAGCTGTGCCAGAGCTTGTGACTGACCCAGGCTCACATCAGCAGGTGCAAGTGGAGGAATGGGGAATCAAACCCGGTTCTCCCAGATTAGAGTCCGCACACTTAACCACGACAGCAAACTGGCTCTCCAAAAGATCTGCAGCCATTCCCAAAATAGCTGCTGCATCCCCCTCTTTCCTCTCTGTCTTTGGGCAGTGTGACAGAAATGACTTCTTGTGTCACCTTAGAATCATAGAGTTGGATGGGACCTCAGGGGTCATCTAGTCCAACCCCCTGCACAAGGCAGGACATTCACAAATACCTCCCCCTCCACACCCCCAGTGACCGCTGTTTCATGCCCAGAAGATGACCTGAGAAGATCATCACTTACCTTGTCTGTTGTGATGTAGGCCAGGTATCGTTTCTCAGGATTGTAGCCCTCTATGGGTGGAAGGACTTGAATCTTCTCCAGGGGAGAGCCGTATGTTGGTCCCAGAACAGTCTTTCTAAAAAGAGAGGGGCAGGGACAGACTGACAGAGGAACTCAACTAATACTGCCTCGGGATATAGAGACGGCCAGAGCTTAGATCCAGAGGTGTCGAACTCATTTGTTACAAGGGCGCGGATCTGACATAAATGTCACTTTGTCCGGCTGGGCCATGCGTGCCATAAAATGTAACTCCAGTAAAGTATAAACTTTATAAAGGACACGGGCAAACTCAATTAGCAAAATTATTTTTCACTCAGAATACAAACATACTTAAAACTAGTGTTGCTGGCCTCCAGGTGGTACAAACACCTGGGATGCTTTTAAGCTAGCCACCATAGGCTGATGATCAGAGCCTGATTCCTAGCGAATTGGAACATACTGTTGGACTTTGTGTCATTTTGAATCTTGCCAGAACTGCCTTTCTGGTCTGACCAGCTTTGCGGGTGGGCGGCCCAGGGGTTTCTCCCTCCCCTTTGCCCTGCACACCGTCTAGCTCTCAGGCAGGGGTCATTTCCTGCAGGAGCGCACAGGAGCGGAGCTCCGGCAGTAAGGAGCCCAGGGGGCGGGCACATGCAACAAGCCCCACCCCCTGATCCCAGCAGCCCTCAGTCAGAGCAAGAAGCAGCCAGGTAAGCTGCAGAGCCCCCCCAGCCCCCAGCCCCAAAACAGTCCAGTGGCACCTTTAAGACCAAGTTTTATTCAGGTACAAGCTCTCCCTCCTCTGCCAGGACAGATCTGCACATCCCCCCCCCCAATAGCTAGCAATCCAAAACAGTCCAGTGGAGCCTGAGCGGTGGGTGTTGCCTTCTGTGGCATATGCAAATAAGTTATGCTAATGAGTTATGCTAATGAGCTCCTGCATCTCTTTTTCTACGAAATGACCCCTGCTCTCAGGATTCAGTTCTGTCAGGCTGGGGCCAGGACTGAAAATGTCCTGGCCCTAGTCGAGGCCTTCCCGCCCTCCCTAGGTTCCACCCCCAAAAATCTCCAGGTATTTCTCTTACTATAAGATTTTTATTAGGTTTTCCCTATTATATATGACATTATAGGAAGGGAAGGACATAGGGAATGGGATAAGACATGTAGGAAAATTTCCATCAAGCTTATACAATAGCTGTTACATATTTTCCATCTTAAATCCTTGTTTCCAGATCTCTTTCGTTTTATATAATATCGATTAATCAAATCGCTAAAAACGTCTATTGTGATTCCTGAAAAAAAGTACGTTTTCTGCACAATTCAAGTTAGTTTTACCCTGAGCTTATAGTGATTATACTCATTATTCGATCTCCAGGTATTTCTCAACCCTACTTGAAACATGAACACTCCTACAGCATTTCCTCACTCTATCTCCCTGCGACGCACCCTCCTGCTTCCACTGCTCATTAACGCATGAGCACTGGGACGGCATAGAGGGACATAATGCACAACCTCTGTCATCTGGCAACAAAGATAATGACCAGTTGCTCACAGGCCGGATAAGAGCCCTGGATGGCTTGGCTCAGACGGCTTTCAGTTAGGACTAGGCCAACCCCTGAGAGAGGACACCTCCATCAGCGGGTCCTCCTAGCCGCACCAGCTGAATAAATTTCCAGGTTCAGAGGCAGCATCCCTCTGAAAGTGAGAAGCCTTCGTGCCTGTGCTTGTAAGCAATGCTCCCTCTAAGCCAGGGATGTCAAACATGTGGCCTGGGGGCCGGATGAGGCCCCCGGAGGGCTTCTATTAGGCCCGCAGTGGAACTTCTTCTGTCTTCTGCTTCTTCTTCCAGTTCTGCTGCTGCTGCATCATCGTAGGGTTGCAGCTTGCAGATACACATCTGAACAGCATACTCAAGATTGCAACAGCACAGACATTTTGATGCAATAATTCAGAGCAAGAGGTGTCCGTTATCAGACACTGTTAAATAAACAAAATATTGCAAGGGTGCTAATGTTTTAAGCATGTTTTTATTTTAAGTTAAAAAAACCTTTGTGTTTGTGATCTTTATAAAGTTTATATCTCCACTACCTGGCATTACATTGTATGACACACATGGCCCAGCCCAACAAGGTCTCATTTATGTCAGATCTGGCCCTCATAACAAATGAGTTCGACACCCCTGCTCTAAGCTATGGAGTCTTGTGAGCAAAAATTCTACTTTGTGAGTTATTGGCATTAAAGTTGTGAGGGAGCGATTTGGCTGCTGCATAAATTAGTTTGCTATGGAGCCATCCTTCCTGAGCTGAGACAAAAATATACGAGCCAGAGGCTAAAAAACTGTGAGCTAGCTCACCACTAACTCAGCTTAGAGGGAACACTGCTTGTAAGCCTTCCAGAAACATCTGGCTGGCCACTGTGGGAAAAGGGAGTGTGGGACTAGATGGACTTTTGGCCCAGTTCTTCCGGTGCCAAGGCAACAAATCAGACGAAGAAGGAGAAGGAGAAGAGGAGGAGATTGGATTCCTACCCCACCCTTCACTACCCGAAGGAGTCTCAGAGAGACTCACAATCTCCTTTCCCTCCCTCTCCTCACAACAGACACCCTGTGAGGTAGGTGGGGCTGAGAGAGCTCTGACAGAAACTGCCTGTGAGAGAACAGCTCTGAAAGAACTTGTGACTGACCCAAAGTCACACCAGCAGCTGCATGTGGAGGAGCGGGGAATCAAACCCAGCTCTCCCAGATTAGAGTCCACGCTCCTAACCACTACGCCAAACTGGGCAAGGGCAGGCTGTGATGGCTGCTCGTGCAACTGGCACCCTCACCCGAGGCCGCGGGGCCTCGGCAGCTGCCCGGAGATGCCCACTGCTCACCTGCACATTTTTGTGGTCACGTTATAAATCTTCATTTTGTACTGATCATTGGTAGTCAGGAAGAAATACTCCTTTGTGAGCGGAGGGTACCAGGTGATATATTTGGGGACTGCGCTCTGCTCAATGCGCTCCCTTCGGAGAACCACCAGCTCGTCTTTGACGCTGTTCTCCAGGTCATATTCCACCTGCAAGCGGAGAAGCATTAACCTGCCGGCTGAGAAATCTCACGCAGGCTCACGGCTCCCCTGATTTCACCACCGCTGAATGTGGGAATCGACTCGGTTGAAAATAAACTGCGTTACGGGCAATACGGAAGTTCTGTACGCGGCTCTGGCTGCCCCCAGTCACGTGTGCGCATCCTTCCTGCGTTTCGGAGTCATCGAGCGATGATGAGCTTGGCCGGGTCGCCCGTGAAACACCAGCAAAGACCAACTGATTTTGAAACCCATTTACCTCCGTTTGGCCACTCTCCCCATTTATCTCAAACTGGCAATGTGGACACAAAAAGCTTCGCCTCCTTGTGCCAAGAGCCATCGATGTTATTAGAGGTTTTCTTTGTTGGTCCTCCTGGGCTGGTTGGCCGCTGCGTGGAACAGGATACTGAGTCAACGATCTGATCCAGCAGGGTACCGATTATGGGCCAGGTTCAGACTGGCAGTTTGCCCCAATATATGGGCGTTTCAGAAACGTTCCACAACCGGATTAAACGGGCCGTTCACACAGGCATATCTTGTCAGGCGTTCCCCACCCATTGCTCCCGAGTTTAAAAGATACCTGGTGAAAGTGGTAGCAAACCCTGGAAAGCGCGATTACCCCACGTCCATCCCCCACCAAGAAAGTGTGAACGCCAAAAGCCGCATTTTTCTTATGCACTCATGCGCATAAGCGCATATCTCCAGATTACAAAAAAAGAAAGCTGCACTTTACAGCCGTGCCTCCGGGCCAACAGTGTGAACACTCCCTTGCACCTCCTCCCTCCCACATTGGTCGGTGCAGTGTGAACAGGAAAACTCAGAATAGTTTGTTCCGGCTCTTTTTTGCCATTACTCCCTCCCACTTCAAACTGCCAGTCTGAACTCAGCCATGGTCTTTTTAAAAAATGTATGTCCCCCTGTCTCCCTGGGACTCTAGGTGAATGACACAGAGTGAGTCAGTACAATCGACAGGACGGGACCTTCAACGAACAATGCAATAGGATTTGGGTTGTAGAACCAACCAGAAGTCTAAGAAACAGAACTGAAAGCAAAGCATAAGTGTTAACATAACATGGAAGAAGAGGAGGAAGAGGAGGAAGAAGAGGAAGAAGAAGAAAAAATTGGATGTATACCGCACCCTTCACTTGGAGTCTCAGAGCGGCTTACAGTCTCCTTTCCTTCCTCTCCCCACAACAGACACCCTGTGAGGGAGGTAGGACCGAGAGAGCTCTGAGAGAACTGCTCTTGAGAGAACAGCTCTGAAAGAACCTGTGACTGACCCAAGGTCACACCAGCAGCTACATGAGGAGGAGTGGGGAATCGAACCTGGTTCTCCCGGATTAGAGTCCATGCTCCTAACCAGGGGTCATTTCGTAGAAAAAGAGCTAGGGGAACTCATTAGCATAGCTCATTAGCATATGCCACACCCCCTGACATCAGGGGCCCGGCGGTGGACCTGCAAGGCCAGCGGGAGTGCAAGGAAGCCCCGCCAAGGCCCTCCCTGGCCCCAGGCAGGCAGGGGTGGGGAGAGGCGGGGAGGAAGCAACTTACCCTCCCTCTTCTCCTGCCTCCTCCTGGCTGAATGAGGACTGGAAGCGGGGGGCGGGGCTTCGTCATGTGCCCCGCCCCCTGCACCTCACCCGGGGGAACTGTGTTCCCCCGCGTTCCCCCCCCGAAATGACCTCTGCTCCTAACCACTACACCAAATTAATGCAAAGTCACACAATGGAAGCCAATGGGAGCCAACCCACAGCAAACTTTACACAACAGTACAGACCACAGTCCCCAATCATTCATCCAAGTAACATTGCAAATCCTTTTACTTTAACCAGTTAGTGCACCAGTCCTTTGCATTTTGGGCAAGTGACCTACCAAAAGCCGGTCCTCTCCCAGGGTTAAGAGGCGGGGCTTATCGCTGTCCAAGTGCACTCCGAAGAGGATGGTGCGGATGGGCTTGTAATGGGAACGGAGCGCTGCCAGACGCTCCCACTCCTCCTTCTCCTCTTCAATGACTTGTTTATAAATAGTTACTGACATTTTGTCATCCTGAAAGACAATTTTTTTTAAAAAAAATTTTTAAAACTTACTCAGCATCGATGAATTTGAGCTTTACTTCCAAAGCAAGTGGGGTGTCGCAAGGAATTGCGAGGCAGACTATGATTTGAAATTTTCCATCCCCCACATCTACCCCCCCAAAAAACATTCTACATGTTATCAGGTGCCTGAGAGGCCCAATTTCCCCATCTCCCTCAGTGCTCCCCCCATTTAACTGACTCTCAACATTTTACGCCTCTTAGAAGACAACCCGTCCTCCACAGGCCGTGTCCCCCCCACCCCCATGTCCTTCTGCACGCCCGGGGGATCCCTCAAGTGTGTATAAACCTCTGACTTGTTTTCAGATGTCCTGGTTTGGCTGACTTTGTGACCGGTATTAGCCACCAAATTTACTATTAGATACTATGTGTTTTCAGAGCTGGAATCCCTTGCCAATGAGAACCACAAGGACTGGGGGGGAAAGCGGGCGTACAAAGGGTCCACACTGACCTGGATGGCCCAGGCTAGCTCGGTCTTGTCAGATATGGGAAGCTAAGCAAGGTCATAAGAACATAAGAGAAGCCAAGGTTGCATCAGGCCAGTGGCCCATCCAGTCCAACACTCTGGGTCAAACAGTGGCCAGAAATACCAGGGGCCATCAGGAGGTCCAGCAGTGGGGCCAGGACACTAGGAGCCCTCCCACTCTTGCACCCCCCCAAGCACCAAGAATACAGAGCATCACTTCCCCAGACCGAGAGTTCCTATCTATACCTTGTGGTTAAGAGCCACCGATGGACCTCTGCTCCATATTAAGAACATGAGAGAAGCCAATGTTGGAACAGGCCAATGGCCCACCTAGTCCAACACTCTGTCACACAGTGGCCAAAAAGACCAGGGGCCACCAGGAGGTCCAGCAGTGGGGCCAGGACACTCGAAGCCCTCCTACTGTTGCCCCCCAACCCCAAGCACCAAGAATACAGAGCATCACTTCCCCAGACCGAGAGTTCCTGTCTATACCTTGTGGCTAAGAGCCACCGATGGACCTCTGCTCCATATTAAGAACATAAGAGAAGCCAAGGTTGCATCAGGCCAGTGGCCCATCCAGTCCAACACTCCATCACACAGTGGCCAGAAATACCAGGTGCCATCAGGAGCCCCAGCAGCGGGGCCAGGACACTAGAAGCCCTCCTACTGTTGCCCCCCCCCCCCAAGCACCAAGAATACAGAGCATCACTTGGCCCAGACCGAATGTTCCTATCTATACCTTGTGGCTAAGAGCCACAGATGGACCTCTGCTCCATATGTTTATCCAATTCCCCCTTATAAGAACATAAGAGAAGCCAATGTTGGATCAGGCCAATGGCCCATCCAGTCCAACACTCTGGGTCACACAGTGGCCAGAAATACCAGGTGCCATCAGGAGGTCCAGCAGTGGGGCAGGACACTAGAAGCCCTCCCACTGTTGCCCCCCCCCCAAGCACCAAGAATACAGAGCATCACTTGGCCCAGACCGAGAGCTCCTATCTATACCTTGTGGCTAAGAGCCACCGATGGACCTCTGCTCCATATGTTTATCCAATTCCCTTTTGAAGCCGTCCGTTCTTGTAGCCACTGCCACCTCCTGTGGCAGTGAGTTCCACGTGTTAATCACTCTTTGGGTGAAGAAGTACTTCCTCTTATCTGTTCTAACCCGACCGCTCAGCAATTTCATGGAGTGCCCACGAGTTCTTGTATTGTGAGAAAGGGAGAAAGGGACCTCTTTCTCCACCTGCTCTGTCCCAGGCATAATCTTGTAAACCTCGATCATGTCACCCCTCAGCCGTCGTTTCTCCAAGCTAAAGAGCCCCGAGCACTTTTAACGTTTCTTCATCGGTCAGCACTGGTTAGGGCTTGGATGGGAGACCCCTAAGGAAGTCCAGGGCTGCTCCGCAGAGGCAGGCAACGGCCAACCACCCCTGTTTGTCACTTGCCTTGAACACTCTACAGGGTTGCTCTAAGTCAGCTGTGGACTTGGCGTCACTTCCGCACCCACCGTTCTGCAGCAGCAGGAAAGAGCTGTGACTTATTGACATGGAAGAAACTCACCCCCTCCCCCCAAAAAACCACCCTGAAACACTCACTGCAGTTGCAAGATACCGGGAATCGTGCGAGAAGCTCATATGAATGACTGCGCCTTTGGCGTATGAGTATTTGAAAGGCTCCGAAGAGTCGTCTCCCAAGGATATCGAATCCAGGATGTAGACGGTTCCATCAGCGAATCCAACTCCCAGCAAGGATCCTGAAATGCACAGAGGACATGGGCAGGTTTCAATCATGCAGGAGCCGGACCACAAATTCATTCATTTATTTATTTTTTCGCATTTATCCCATAAACGGGCTCAGGGCGGGTCACAACATTTCAATAAAGGCAATAGAATTTAAAACACATTTAAACATATAAAATAATTAGTCATGCTTGCCGTAGGGAGAATCCGGCCCATTGATGTAACTAGGTGTGGCTGGTTTTTGGTAGGTGGGAGACCGCAACCTCGGGGGAGGGGGATATGTGGACGCCCGCTGCCTCAGCCGAAGGCCTGGCAGAACAGCTCTGTCTTGCAAGACGGCCTGCAAGACGGAGCTCTTCCGCCAGGCCTTTGCATAGGAGCCATCGTCGTCACTGTACCACCACCGAGTTGCCATCTTTGATAGTGGATTAGATCTGGAGGTGAGCCGGCCCTGGGCAGACGCCTAGTCAACCGAAGAATGTATGTTGTCAGGTTAGGTTGATGAATGGAACTCATCTTGGATTAAGAAAAATTTAACATCAAGAGCACCGCGCTTTACTTAATGGTTGTTTTATACTGTTTAATGATTGTTTTTATGTTGTTTTAACTGTTGTTATGGCAATTGCCCCTGTTGTAGCTGCCCTGAGCTCGTTGGGGAGGGCGGGGTACAAATCTAATGAATGAATAAATAAATAATTAAATATTGCCTAAAAATGACAGAACTGGGAGCCTTTTCAGAGGGGCTTTGCACAGAGCTCTTCGGGGATTCTGCGTCTGGCATAGGGTTGCCAAATCGTTCTTACCTTGCGGCGGGGGCTCCCGTTCGGCGTCTTCCTCTCAAACGGCTGTGGCCCCGCCCCCAGCATGCCTGGCGTCATCACGTCACATCCGGGTGACGTGCACGCCGAGGTGGGGTTTCCCCCGGGGTCCGATTCGGCGGCGGCAGAAATTGGGCCTCCAAAGCGGGGGGAAATCCGCCCCCAGGGGGAATTGGCAGCCCTAGTCTGGCATTCACTCCACATTTTCTTAACTGGGAGGGGAAAGTGCAGCTCAAAACCACATTCAAATCCCTGGGGGCCATGCCGCTGCACTGACTGCAAAGTCACCCCTGAACGGCCATAAACCTCTGCAGAAAGTACCACAAAACCCGCTGATCAAAGAAAGTGAAAGCCGGCAGGTAGTGTGGAGGGTACCATAAAATCCTACGATCAAAGAAAGTGAAAGCAGCATGCCATGCAGTGGGGAATTCCTGTTCCAACCTGGGTTTTGTAAAACAGCAGAGGGAAAAGCCCATGCAGAATTGCCCAAAGATCCAATTGGATGTGGAGCAGTGTTCCCTCTAAGCTGAGCTTGTGCGAGCTAGCTCACAGTTTTTTAGCCTCCAGCTCACACATCTTTGTCTTCACTGAGGAAGGAGGGCTCCAGAGCAAACTGATTTATGCAGCAGCTAAATCTCTTCCTCGCCGCTTTAATGCCAGGAGCTCAGAAAGTAGAATTTTTGCTCACAAGGCTCCACCGCTTAGAGGGGGTATTGATGCGGAGGACTTGGAAAGATGCTGCTTTGGAACCAGCGCTGCCAGTGCGCTGCCACCCCCCCCAAACGACATCCACTGAACCTGCATGTTACCACTGCAAAGGAGGCAACCGAATCCAGCACTCTCTTTGCGTGACTTCTAGGAGCAGCGCAAGGAGCAGCGCAAGGAGCAGCCGCCCTGAGCCCACTCGAGCCGCCCTGAGCCCGCTCGTGGGGAGGGCGGGGTAAAAATGTTCAAAATAAATAAAATAAAATATAAGTCCATACCATCGTGATTGTAGCAGACGCTCCAGATACTGTGCCCCTTAAAGATCCGGCTGACGAGGTACTTCTCTAGCTCGTAGTCCCACACCTTCAGGAGCCCGCAGGCGCTCCCCTTGGCCAGGAGAGGCTTGGTCGGGTGGCAGGCGATGGCGTGGACGGCACCTTTGGGCTCCTCCAGGCACTTGGTCAGTTTCATCCCCTCGGTCATGACGTGGACCACCAGCCCATCGGATGTGGAGAGGATAAAGTTCCTGCACCGTGGGGAAGAATCAGAATCGCCACGTTTCCAAGCAGAACTGGACCTCTGCAAGCACGACAGATGCAATTTTTTTAAAAAGTCTCATCTGGTTTGACCCTTCCCCAGAGATCTTATGGCCAAGGGTGAGAGCAGTTAAGACAGGATGAATTAAAAGGGAGATCAGGTAAGGCAAATAAATGGTTCGTTAAAAGGTCCTTCATGTTTACCTGTGGCAAGGAAGGCTCGTCTTCAAGTCACCGGGAAGCAAAGCTTTACAAAAGTTTCGAGGAAGCAGCAGTTGCTTAATAACATTTTTATTGAGATGGAAATATCGTAAAATGGTGAGCAAACCTGCGGTTTTTAAATAAAACCAGATTCCCGCATGCACCCTGAAGACTGACAGCATCCACTCCAGCTTAAGCTTTTGTGAGTCAGAGCTCGCGCTTCATCAGATGCATTGGAGTGCGCATCCGTGAGGTTGGTGCTTCTACATTCCCAACAAAAAGGCAGCAGAGGCGGGTGGGGAGGTGCTGCTGAGGTCCTTGGAGGAATGGTGGGACTGGGACCCATATATCTATTTCTCAAGTGTGGGTAGATCTGTGGATATCTAAATCCACAGACTGGGCCCACGCTGAGATAAAGGAGAGTTTTATCCAAACTTGGAGGGATTCCTAGGTTTGCAGAAAAATTGGAAATTGGTAAAAACAAATCACATCTAAATCCTCTATAAAAACAAAACCATTGTTCGTGCATGTGCAGTACGGCATCCTGGCAGCAGCAGCAGCTTTAAGGCTGGAGGGCCTTGGGAGCCATAGCAGGCCTGGCAGTGGAGGCCTGGAGCCACACTGGGCTCACTAACATCGATGTTGGGTGGGGACAGCAGCCCATTGGCAGTGGCTGCAACAGTGGTGGGGGCAGGAGCCACAACACTCACAGGAGGAATCCCTTTCCTCTCTTAGCTGGCACTGACGGGGGAGGATTAAAGTTAAGAGGAGGAAGGGATCCTCCCCCCGCGAGTATCGTGGGTCCCCACTTGTAAATCTCTAATAGGCTGATGGAGTGGGAGACAGCAGCAGCGGAAGGAGGAGGAGGAGGAGGAGGAGACTGGATTTATACCCCGCCCTTCACTTGGAGTCTCAGAGCGGCTTACAAACTCCTTTCCCCTTCCCCTCCCCACAAAGGGCACCCTGAGAGGTAGATAGGGCTGAGAGAGCTCTGACAGAAAGTGCTCTCTTTCAAGCACAGCTCTTATCAGAGCTATGACTTGCCCAAGGTCATCCAGCCAGGTGCAAGTGGAGGAGAGGGGAATCAAACCTGGTTCTCCCAGATTAGAGTCCGCACACTTAACCACTACACCAAACTAGCCAGCCGCTGCTCCTTTCAATGGGGCTGGCCCAGGAGAAATTCCCGGAATGTTGCCCTCCATGTTGATCATTAGGAGGCAGGGGCAGAAATACCTTATGGTGTTTTCTCACCTCACCCATTGACATTTTTAGAGCCAGTCCTAGGTGTGCCAAATACCTGTCCAAAATATACCTTGGAATTTTGAAAACTATTTTTTTGGAAAGGCAAGAGCTACCCGCAATATCTGTGTTTATCGTCACTTCTCACCTGACAATTAAGGGCTGGCCTGTTAAGGTGCAAGAACTGGGGAACTGGGAGGCGTTCAAGGGGCACACCGGTGTCTTGGAGAAGGAAACAGACCGGATGGGTCCCAGTTTGAGCTGGTTGTACCAATGCAGAAGCTGCAGGGATCCGTCGTAGAATTTGACGTGGCCTTTGACGTCACAGATCACAATAGTTCTGGAAAAGAAGAATGAGGTATTGTGGAGATCTAGTACAATGCCGGGGTCCAAAGAATGCCAGCCCCAAGTAGCATGATGTTACCACTGGGCCAGTTTTCATAACTGAAAGAGTTTGCAAGCCTTTGGCTCCAACAGAGCTCTTCATCAAATGGAACAGAAAGAAAGTGAAGTAACTCCTCAGTATATATTTAGCAAGGTGCAGATTATCAGACCCTGATGCTGGGAAAGATTGAAGGTCAAAGAAGAAGGGGACGGCAAAGGATGAGATGGTTAGACAGTGTCGCCGATGCAAGCTTCGGAGGATGGCAGAGGACAGGAGGGCCTGGCGTGATCTGGTTCACGGGGTCGCGAAGAGTCGGACTCGACTGTGCGACTGAAGAACAACAACAACAAAAGATTATTCAGGACCAGGGGTCATTTCCTGCAGGAGTGCACAGGAGCGGAGCTCCGGCAGTAAAGAGCCCAGGGGGCGGGCACATGCAACAAGCCCCACCCCCTGCTCCCAGCAGCCCTTAGTCAGAGCAAGAAGCAGCCAGGTAAGTTGCAGAGCCCCTCCCCCGGTCCCCCGGTCCAAAACAGTCCAGTGGCACCTTTAAGACCAGTTTTTATTCAGGTACAAGCTCTCCCTCCTCTGCGAGGACAGATCTGCACGTCCCCCCCCAATTGCTCCAGTGGAGTCCAGTGGAGTCCAGTGGAGCCTGAGCGGTGGGTGTTGCCTTCTGACACACTTCCGGTGATGTCAGGGTGTGTGTGGTATATGCAAATGAGTTATGCTAATGAGCTATGCTAATGAGCTCCTGCACCTCTTTTTCTACTAAATGACCCCTGTTTAGGACATTCTGACACTGGAGCAAGTAGCCTTTGCAGTAGGCTTCCTCTGGAAAGAGCATGCCACACATGTCTCCACATCAGAACAAAATTAGGCTCCTACAAATGTAAGCAGCTGCCTTACTGAGTCACACCACTGGTCCAGCTCTGACCAGGGGCATCCCTCCAGGGGGTCTCAGGCGGAAGAAGGTGTTTCCCAGCCCCTGCTTTTGCAAGGCATGGGCTCCATCACTGAGAGGTGCAGGAGGGGGATCTTAGCCAAAGAAACCCATCCCTTTAAAAAAAAAAAAAACTATAATTTCCAGGGTAGAGGGTGACCCAATACTGTCAAGCCAATTCGTCCTGTACTCTCTCTGGAAACTCGTGCAATGGATATTTTCTTGGCCCTGGGGTTACGGGGCCAGTTCTGTGACATTACGGGATTCCCATGACAGAAATGTTAATTTATTTATTTATTCAATTTATACCCCGCCCTCCCCACCGAGGCGGCTCAGGGCGGCTTCCATAAAAGGCATATATAAATACAATTAAACTCCATCATAAAAACAACCAAAACCCATAAACAAATCAGTTATCCTAAAGCACTGGTTCCCAAAGTGGGTAATACCACCCTCTTGGGGGGTGCTGGAACGAGCCAGGTGGGCGGTAGGAGCCTTGGGTGCAATTGGGGTGTGTTGAATAAAAATAAGGGAGCAGTGGAAGCATAAAGAATAAAGAGTCCAGAACCTATCTAAAGCAGCCTTTTCCTGCCTTCTCCTGGTCTTCCCTGGGATCAGGGAGGGAGGTGGAGGTGGAGAGGGGTCCCCACAGTCAATCACATCCATGCATTTGCAAACTCCAAATGCATGTGCACCCTTGTAAGGCTGGTGTTACTGCTGGGCTATTGTGTGTTAGTTGCTGCTGGCCTCTGGCTTCAGGCCAACAGCATCTTTCTTTACTTACAACAACATCTTTCTTTACCATGTGCAAATTTGTCACTGGATCTTTTTGTCCATTTCTTGAAGGTAGATTTCCAGGGGGGCGCTGAGTAATTTTTTTTCTGAAAAGGGGGCGGTAGGCCAAATAAGGTATGGAACCTTTGTCCTAAAGTGCTGGAACAATATTCAAATAAAGTGCGAGAGCAGAGAATTTCAAATTTAAACAATACTCCCTAGGTGGCAATAATGATGGTGTTCGTGCGCCAGCTCCATTGATCTACTTATATATATATGCAGCATGGGCTCTGGGGCACCCACTGAAATACCATCATGTGCAAGACTGCCTCAACTTTCTACTGAAAATGCTGCATGGATCTGCTACAATACAAGTCTTGTCTTGGGATGCAATCATGTCAGATAGCGGTTCTTCCTTGATCTGTACAGCAGTGCCCTCTGCTGGTTCAAATGAGGAGAAATGCTCTTAAAATGTGCAAGGCAACCCTCATGATTGATCAGGCCCAAATTAGATACAGGTTGCTATGGGAGACCCGGGGATGTCCCCCTAGGGTTATTATTTTTGCTTCAATGAGCCCCTGGGAGAGGGGAAGACTGGGAGATTATAGGTAGCCATGCTGGCCTGTAGACAAGATTCAAAAACAAAAATCAGGTATTACGTTTTATTGGGACCAGCCCAGATATCCTAAAACAGTGAAGAGAAATGATCTCTCCAAACGTGATCAGAGCAATAGTGGGGAGGGAGGCATTACTTAATCTTTTCCCCACAGGCTGGTTTTCCCAGTCAGAACTGTACATGATGCACATAAGAACATACGAGAACATAAGAGAAGCCAGTGGCCCATCCAGTCCAACACTCTGTGTCACACAGTGGCCAAAAATACCAGGTGCCATCAGGAGGTCCAGCAGTGGGGCCAGGACTGCTAGCTGTTGGGGGGGGGGACACGCGCAGATATGTCTTCGCAGAGGAGGGGGAGCTTGTACCTGAAGGCGGGCCGTGGGGGGCTCTGCAACTTACCTGGCTGCTTTTTGCTCCTTGTGGCCCAACTGAGGGCTGCTGGGAGCAGGGGGCCGGGCTTTTTGCATGTGCCCACCCCCTGGACTCCTTACTGCCAGAGCTCCACTCCTGTGCGCTCATGCAGGAAATGACTCCTGCCGTAGTGATTTCTGTAGAAATTTTTTCTTCTATTGCCGCTCACAGGCTAACGAGTGCTGCGCAATGAAAACAATTTGTTTCACAATAGTTGCTCCTGAAGGAAATGTTCCATTGTGAAGACTTTGGGTTCTGTTATCGAGAGTCCACATGGAACGTTTCCTTCAGGAGTTGATAAGTAGTGATCGATAAGGATTGGGGTTGCTACACGCTCAGAGAAAGCAAACGTTGTGAAACGAATTGTTTTCATTGCGCAGTATTTGTTAGCGTGTGAGCGATAATAGAAGGAAATTTTCTACAGAAATTACTACGGTAAACATTTTTGCAACTTATCTGTATTGACGCTTCGCTATGTTTTGTCACGGATGTCGTTTTTGGAATTCCACCACCTGGAAGCTGGCAACTGTAGTATATTGGTGCTTCATCAAACCAGGATGTTCTGCTTAATGGAAGGACGGAAGTGGGAGGAGCAGGTGACCTACAGGAGCGCAGCAACCGGCTAAGTGAGCACTGTGGGGAGGATACAAAAGGCCAAACCACCCCCCACATACAGGAGCCTGAACTGCACATAGAAAGAAGGAGAAGGTTCAACGAGGTCAACGGCTTACTTGTCCACGACAGCCAGGACGGTGATCCCATCTCTCTGCAAGTTCACGAGCTTGACGGCTTTCATGTTGTAGGGCTTGACGCACAAGGCAGTGGACTTGGAGGGCACGATTGTGACATCCCAGACCACCAGCTTCCCTTCCAGTGTTCCGGTAACCGCTTGTTCGGTGCTGAAGTGGAAGAGGGATTGGCTAAAGATCCCCACAGCCTTGTTGAATGTCTGGAGAAAGGGGGGGGGGAGAGAAGGGAACACAGCACATTGTGATATCTGGTAGTCATAGAATCACAGAATCACAGAGTTGGAAGGGACCTCCAGGGTCATCTAGTCCACCCCCCTTCACAATGCAGGAAATTCACAAGGGACCTCGAGGGTCATCTAGTCCAACCCCCTGCATAATACAGGAAATTCACAAATATCTCCCCCACACACACACACACACACACAATGACCACTGTTCCACAGCCAGAAGATGACAAGAACCCTTCCGGATCTCCGGCCAAACTGGCCAGGAATCAATTTGCTTCCTGACCCCATAGAGTCCACCCTCCAATATAGCCATTTTCTATGACTTGCCAGTCATAGAAGCCGCAAGGCCAGGGCTCCTGCAGACCGAGAGGAGGATTCTGCCAGCGCAGGGATTTCCTCCGGCACGCAGCCAAACATGACCTTGTACAAGGTTGCCAACTCAAGTTGGGAAATCCTTGGAGATTTGGGGGCGGGGCCTGGGGAGGGAGAGGTTTGGGGAGAGGAGGGACCCCAGCGGGGTATGACGCCCTCCAGCCTGCCCTCCAGAGCGGCCATCTTCTCCAGAGGAACTCCTCTCTGTCATCTGCATGTCGGCTGTAACACCAGGAGATCGGAAGCCCTAACTTGTAAGCTGGTCAAAAGAAAAAGGAACCTACAGTGGCCTCCGGAAGACTAACGATGCCCCAAGAGACATGGGGTGCTGAAGGGACCTGAGAGTCACTTCAAGGGAGGGAAACGTACAGAGTAGCCAGTTCAGTGTAGTGGTTAAGCGTGCAGACTAATCTGGGAGAACCAGGTTTGATTCCCAACTCCTCCACTTGCAGCTGCTGGATGACCTTGGGCAAGCTATAGTTCTGCCAGAGCTGTTCTTGAAAAAGAGCAGTTTCTGTCAAGAGCTCTCTCAGCCCCACCTACCTCCCAGGGTATCTGTTGTGGGGAGGGGGAGGGAAAGGAGTTTGTAAGCCGCTCTGAGACTCCTTCAGGTAGTGAAGGGTTAGGGTATAAATCCAATCTCCTCTCCTCCTCCTCCTCCTCAGTTCTTCACAGGCTCCCAGCTTAGGTTGTCAACTTGCCAGGAGGAGGAGGAGATTGGATTTATACCCCGCCCTTCACTACCCAAAGGAGTCTCAGAGGGGCTTACAAGCTCTGAGAGAACTGCCCTTGAGAGAACAACTCTGAGAGAACTTGTGACTGATCCAAGGTCACCCCAGCAGCTGCCAGTGGAGGAGAGGGGAATCAAACCCAGCCCTCCCAGATTGGAGTCCGCACCCCTAACCACTACACCAAACTGGCTCAGCTGCCCTCCTGTGCTGTTAAAAGAGGTTTAATATGTGAAGAGAAGCAGCTGAAGCGCTTCGTGGCTCAGAGATCAAATTAAGATCATTTAATTTCTGCAGATCAAACTGCCGCGAGACGGACAGCAAAAGGGGTCAACTTAAAAGCTGGGAATGTTACCCCCGGCTAGGGATGCCAGCCCCCAGGTGGGACCTGGAGATCCCCTGGAATTGCAGCTAATCTCCGAACTACAGAGATCAGTTTCCCCTGGAGAAAATGGATGCTTTGGAGGGTGGACTCTGTGGCACTGGACCCCACTGAGGTCCCGGTCCCCCTAATATCCATGAGTTTCCCAACCCGGATCTGGCAAAAAAAAACAACCCATCCCCTTCCTGTGGTTGGGGGGACCGAGCAACATTGCTCCCCGCTGAAGAGCACTGAAGGTAAACCAAAACCGGGAGGGGCATTAACCTGCTGCATTATTTTAAAGGTAAAGGTTCCCTTGCTCAAAAGCCAGTCGAATCCAACTCTAGGGTTGCGGTGCTCATCTCCGTTTCCAAGCCGAAGAGCCAGCGCTGTCCGAAGACGTTTCCGTGGTCATGACTAAACACCAAGGCGCATGGAACGCTGTTACCTTCCCACCGAAGGGGTACCTATTTATCTACTTGCAATTTCTTGTTTTCGAACTGCTAGGTTGGCAGTTTTTAGGCATTTATTATTTATATATTTTTATTTTACATTTTATATTTATTTATTTATATTTATATATTATTTATATATTATTATTTATCACTTCTCTTACAGTCTGGTGTTCACCCAAAGACTCAGTCGCTGGGATGATGTTTGCCAGTACATGTAATTGTGGCGTGGCTATCCCAAAAACAGCACGGCGGACGAGTGAGGGTTCTTCCCACACTTGGGGGGGGGGTCTCCCCACATACGGAGAGGAACCGAGTGTGTAAACTCAACCACTCGCCCAATGAGAACTGAATATGCTCCAGGGGAGTGTGGAATATTAAGAGCTGTTGACAGTCTGTCAAGGGATAAAAAGAGGGCGAGGGGAAATCAGCTTGTTCAGGTTCCACAGAGAATCCCCGGAGGAGGAGGAGGAGATTTCAGGGCAGGGGTAGAATTTCCCGGTCGCTCCTCTCCTACGATTCTCTGTGTGCGCCCCCAGCTTGTTTGTGAGACTGAAGCAATTTTAAAAAGGATTTTTTCTTTTATGAGTTGAGAGATTTATGTCTGGGACAGGAGCGTGGAAGGGATCTCATGTTACAAGTCTGAACGGGGCTCAGAGAAGTGACGCTGGAACCCCAGAGGGCAGCTGGTTTGGGTTCTTCTGGTTTGGGTTACTGCAGCAGCAACGCAGGCCCGGGAAGCAACGGACGTGCCTTTTTTCGGCCGCCAGTATACCTCAAACATAGCCCAGGCAAGCCCGGACTCGTCAGATCTCGGAAGCTAAGCAGGGTCGACTCTGGCAAGTACTTGGATGGGAGACCTCCAAGGAATACCAGCGGTCGGGAGGTGGGGGCAGGCTTCATCCAGCCACCTCTCTGAATATCCTCCAGGCCCCCAGTAGGGGTCCGTCACCAGAGGTCACCATGACTTCCAAGTGCATGCAGACTCACACGCACACACACACGAAAAATACAAAAAAATAAATACCTCAGACAACTGGCCCTGACTGTATGAGAAGACTTTGCTAGCTCATTTTGGGGTTTCTGATCATAAGTACATAAGAGAAGCCAGTGTTGGATCAGGCCAATGGCCCATCCGGTCCAACACTCCATGTTACACGGTGGCCAATAATACCAGGTGCCCTCAGGAGGTCCAACAGCAGGGCCAGAACTCCAGAACCCTCCCCCTTGCCCCCCAAGCACCAAGAAGACAGAGCATCACTGCCCCCAGACATAAGAACAGAAGAGAAGCCATGTTGGATCAGGCCAATGGCCCATCCGGTCCGTGTTACACGGTGGCCAATAATACCAGGTGCCATCAGGAGGTCCGCCAGTGGGGCCAGAACTCCAGAACCCTCCCCCTGTTGCCCCCCAAGCACCAAGAAGACAGAGCATCACTACCCCCAGACATAAGAACAGAAGAGAAGCCAATGTTGGATCAGGCCAATGGCCCATCTAGTCCAACACTCTGTGTCACACAGTGGCCAAAACCCAGGTGCTATCATGTTAGCCGAATTGCTTTATTTACAGCAATTGGCAATTTATAAATGGGTTCTTGCCAATTTATACCAAGGTCCTGATCCCACCCGGGGTTACCAGTAAAGGAGTCGAGGCTGCTGTAATTAAAATAGATGTCTTTTACTTAAAAATATGTCTCATACAAACAATACTGATGCACGCACACATTCAATAAAGTTCCTGAGAATTACAGTATGAAATAAGCACAGTTGCATTAGCAGGTAGGGGTGATGATGGGCGATACTTATCTGCTTTGCAGCTTGGTTGTTCCAAGGAAGAATGGAGGGGAAGAAATGGAAAACAAAGGGAATTCACACACGACCAGAACCAGCGGGAGCGCGTGGGCAGTAGAGGCAAGGGTTGGGGATAGCAAGTGGGACTCAAGAGGAGTAAAAGTAGACAGGGGTCGTCTTGGGGGGGAATGCTAGCTAGGAGGAGTCAAGTGACTGGTTCTCTCCTTTTATAGTGGGTTCAAGAGATGGGCGGTAACTGTTCCAACCTCTCGACCCACCTACCTGTTAGTCCGTCCCAAAAACAATCCTATTGGTTGCAGGAAGGGAGGGGAGGTTACCTAGGAGGGATGGCCAGTATTGTAACCTAAAACCTTACTCGAACTATGGCATCTGGACAGCTGTGAAATCCAGGCGTCATAATGCTTCATTGTAGTGCTGATGAAGTTGGCCAGTTCCATTGATAACCAAAAGCCACTGTTGGATCAGGCTAATGGCCCGGCCCATCCAACACTCCGTGTCACACAGTGGCCAAAGCCCAGGTGCCCTCAGGAGGTCCACCAGCGGGGCCAGAACTCCAGATGCCCTCCCACTCTTGCCCCCCCCCAAGCACCAAGAAGACAGAGCATCACTGACCCCAGACACAAGAACATAAGAGAAGCCATGGTGGATCAGGCCAGTGGCCCATCCAACCCAACACTCTGTGTCACACAGTGGCCAGAAATACCAGGTGCCCTCAGGAGGTCCAGCAGTGGGGCCAGAACTCCAGAAGCCCTCCCACTCTTGCCCCCCCCAAGCACCAAGAAGACAGAGCATCACTGTTCCATCTAGACCCTGTGGCTAACAGCCACTGATGGACCTTTGCGCCATATGACCAAGCCCCACAGGTTCCCTCACAGTAGAATCTGAATGCAAGGGAAGGGACGCGCCGTTTGGCAAGTCCCTGCCCATGTTCCACGATCATACTCACCCTGTCTGTCAGGAGGGGGGCGTGGCACTGTAGACTGTCGCCTTCCTAAGGAGCAACGGAGGAAAAAAAGGGATGGCCGAGAGAGACAGTTCACCTGACCACCAGTTATCTGCAACCGTGCATGGCACCCGTACCTCTTGTTATAAGGCAGCAGAGAGAACATTCACAAACAATTATGAAAATGGACGATGAGAAGAACTGAGGAAGGACAAAGGCTGCCATAAGAGAGGGGTCCCCAACACGGTGCCCACGGGAGCCGGGGTGGTGCCCACCGACACAAGTGTTTTTAGACAGGAGGGCAGGGGAGGCTCTGGTTTGCCCAGCGGGGCATCTGGTTTGCCACGAAAGATCTGATTGCCTATGCAGATTGAAATCAATGTTCCCTCTGAGCTGTGGAGTCCTGTGAGCAAAAATTCTACTTTGTGAGCTACTGGCATTAAAGTTGTGAGCGAGCTATTTGGCTGCTGCATAAATCAGTTTGCTCTGGAGCCCTCCTTTCTGAGCTAAAACAAAAATACGTGAGCCGGAGGCTAAAAAGATGTGAGCTAGCTCACACTAACTCAGCTTAGAGGGAACCCTGATTGAAATAATATTGTTTCAGTAGCAGCTGCCAGCACAACGTCCGTTATAGATTCAGGTGGGGCAGCCGTGTTGGTCTGAAGCAGCAGAACAAATTTAGACTCCAGCGGCACCTTTGAGACCAACAAAGTTTTATTCAAAGTATAAGCTTTCATGTGCAAAGCACACTTCTTCAGACAAAACTGGAATAAAACCTCAAAAGCTAGTGACAGGGGAAAAGCAAGTGGGGACTCTCATTAGGTCTTCCTGGCCACTAACCACCCCACCACCACCACCCACCACCCACCACCTGCATGTAAGCAGGGGTCATTTCCTGCAGGAGCGCACAGGAGCGGAGCTCCGGCAGTAAAGAGCCCAGGGGGCGGGCACATGCAACAAGCCCCGCCCCCTGCTCCCAGCAGCCCTCAGTCAGAGCAAGAAGCAGCCAGGTAAGTTGCAGAGCCTCACCCCCCGGCCCGCCTTCAGGTACAAGCTCGCCCTCCTCTGTGAGGACAGATCTGCACATTTCCCCCCCCCCCAAAGGCTAGCAATCCAAAACAGCCTGAGCGGTGGGTGTTGCCTTCTGACACACTTCCGGTGATGTCAGGGAGTGTGGCATATGCAAATGAGTTATGCTAATGAGCTATGCTAATGAGCTCCTGCACCTCTTTTTCTACAAAATGACCCCTGTATTTGAGGAAATCTAATTCAGTGCATGTGAAGAAGTGTGCACATGTCGAGTCTGTGTTCTTGCAAATACACAGGGTTGAGCTTGATTTTTCTTGGGGGTGCCGCTGGACTCCAATTTCATTCTCACATCTCTTTGTTAACTCTCGCGTTTATGTGCTAATTTGCTGCCGTCCATTGATCCATTCCAATTTCCAATTTCAACTCTGCAGATGCACCTGGGCTGTGAGTGGCCTCCCCTAACGGCTCACCCCGACCCTCTTTTTCCCTGTCACTAGCTTTTGAGATTTTATTCCAGTTTTTTCTGAAGAAGTGTGTTTTGCGCACGAAAGCTTACGCTTTGAATAAAGCTCCGTTGGTCTCAAAGGTGCCACTTGACTCAGTGTAGGGTTGCCAAGTCTGGGTTGGAAAATACCTGGAGACTTTGGGGGGTGGAGCCGGGAGAGGGAGGGGCTTGGGGAGGGGCGGGGCCTCATCCTAGGGTTACCAAGGACCTACCTACGCTCCGGCGGGGGACACATGCTTCCCCGACGGAACATTCTTGCGTGTAACACGGCCGCGTCGCACTATCCTGTCGCCCAGACGTGACGTAAGCACGCTGGGCACGTAGCCGGGCGACACTCTGGCAATGGGGCTGGAAACTCGATGGTACAGTTAGATTCGGGTTTTCAGCCCCATTGCCAGAGCGTCGCCCGGCTACATGCCCACGTCATGTCTGGGCGACAGGATAGTGCAGCGCCTGTGTTTTCCCCGCGGGAATGTTCTCGCCAAGAACTATATGTCCCCCGCCGATTTGCGGTAAGTACTTGGTAGCCCTGCCTCAGCCTGGTACAATGCCCTAGAGTCCGCCCGCCAAAGCAGCCATTTCCTCCAGGGGAGCCGATCTCTGCCGGCTGGGGAATCAGTTGTAAAAGCGGGAGATCTCCAGGCCCCACCTGGAGGCTGGCAACCAGTGTTCCCTCTAAGCTGAGTTAGAGTGAGCTAGCTCACAGTTTTTTATCCTCCAGCTCACACATTTTTGTCTCAGCTCAGGAAGGGAGGGCTCCAGAGCAAACTAATTAATGCAGGAGCCAAATCGCTCACTCACAACTTTAATGCCAGCAGCTCACAAAGTAGAATTTTTGCTCACGTGACTCCACGGCTTAGAGGGAACATCGCTGGCAACCCTAACTCAGTGTGTGTTATACTCTCTCTCATACCTCTTCCCAGTGTATTTTTAAATTATCCCATCGTCTCCCCTGCATTCGGGCTTCCTCTGTGTGTGTGGCAGACCTTTTGGAGTTACGCCCACCACTCCTGTGTCAGAATCCCAAAGGCCTCTCCAAGCTCAAAAAGGTTGGGGACCCCCTTCTATAGAAGCACTTAGTTCTGGACAGGGCTCTTTTCATAGCAGAAGAGGAGAGGAGAGATTGGATTTATACCCCACCCTTCACTACCCAAAGGTGCCTCAGAGCAGCTTACAGACTCCTTTCCCTTCCCTTCCCCTCCCCACAATAGACACCCTGTGAGGAACTCCTTTGCCTATTAGGCAACACACCCCTAATGTAGCCAATCCTCCAAGAGCTTACAGTAGCCCCTGTAAGAAGAGCTCTATAAGCTCTTGGAGGATTGGCTACATTAGGGGTGTGTTGCCTAATAGGCAAAGGAGTTCCTGCCAGTGTTCCCTCTAAGCTGAGTTAGTGTGAGCTAGCTCACAGTTTTTGAGCCTTCAGCTCACACATTTTTGTCTTAGCTCAGGAATAATGGCTCCAGAGCAAACTAATTTATTCAGTAGCCAAATTGTTTGCTCATAACTTTAGCGCCAGTAGCTCACAAAGTAGAATTTTTGCTCACAAGACTCCACAGCTTAGAGGGAACACTGGTTCCTGCTACAAAAAGAGCCCTGGCTGGAAGAACCTCCCGCTCTTTACCCTGCTGTATTCTCTTTCTTGAAAGGAGTTTTCTCCCAGCCAGGCCCCAACGCCAGGAAGTCTGCAGGGCTGGAAGGAAACACTGGAAGCCCCAGAGCAGACTGAGGCACACAAGACAAGAGACAGGATTCAGCTCCCCTCACCGACAGAGTGGCCTACAAACTCCTTTCCCTTCCCTTCCCCACAACAGACACCCTGTGAGGTAGGTGGGGCTGAGAGAAAGCTCTCTCGAGGACTGGTCTTGAGAGAACAGCTCTGAAAGAGCTTATGATTGACCCAAGGTCACACCAGCAGCTGCATGTGGAGGAGTGGGGAATTGAACCCGGTTCTCCCAGATTAGAGTCCACGCTCTTAACCACTACACCAAAGCGACACCCCCCTACTGTGCGGCCGCACCTGCATCTCTTCTGGATATACTATTGAGGAAACCCACAGCCCCAAATATCCCAGAGGCCCTCCGTCCCAACTTACCCACTTGTAGAATATGACTTGTGTGGTGCTGTTGCTGACCAGCTCCCAGTGGTTCCTGGAACTAAATGCAATGTGGCCCTGGAAAAGCAGTGAACAAAAGACACTGTTAACAACACAAAAGCTTCGTGGTCAGCTAAGATCTGCAAGGGAGGCCGTGCTCTGTGGTGATGAGGTGGGTGGTTTCCACAGACAGGGACTTGAGCGTGGTGGCGCCCCAGCAGTTGGGCTACATCCCACGGATCTGTTCTGCTAAAAGTGGCAGTTTCCACCGGTGCAAGGAACTCTTTGAGCCTTTGTGACAGGGGAAGGCTCTCTGTGCCGGAGGAAAGGCTCAATGGGCACGCCCTCCATTCGGTGGTCTGCCTGACAATGTGGGGGTGGAAAGGGCCATCAAGTCACAGCTGACAGACAACAACCCATTCGGGTTTTCAAGGCAGGAGACGTTCAGAGGTGGGTTTGCCATCGGCTGCCTCTGCATAGCGACCCTGTTCTTTCCTTGGTGGGTCTCCCATCCAAGTCCTAACCGGGGCCGGCCCTGCTTCGCTTCCGAGATCTGGTGAGATCGGGCTAGGCTGGGCCACCCAAGTCAGGGCAAGACATAAAGAGAAGTAGCTTATTGCCTGCCTTTGCGTAGCAACCCTGGACTTCCTTGGTGGTCTCCCATCCAAGTCCTAACCAGGGCCGAACCTGATTAGCTTCCGAGATCTGATGATATTTGGCTAGCCTGGGCCATCTTGGTCAAGGCAAGAGACGTTCAGAGGTGGTTGGCCCTTGCCTACCTCTGCGTAGCAACCCTGGGCTTCCTTGGTGGGTCTCCCATCCAAGTCCTAACCGGGGACCAACCTGATTAGCTTCCGAGATCCGATGATATTTGGCTAGCCTGGGCCATCTCGGTCAAGGCAAGAGATGTTCAGAGGTGGTTGGCCCATGCCTACCTCTGCGTAGCAACCCTGGGCTTCCTTGGTGGGTCTCCCATCCAAGTCCTAACCGGGGCCGACCCTGCTTAGCTTCCGAGGTTTGATGAGATCGGGCTAGCCGGGGCCATCCAGGTCAGGGCTGCGTGGCCGTGGTCTTGACATTGTAGGACCTGACCTTTCGCCAGTAGCTGTGACTGGCATCCTCAGAGGTATAACACAGAAAGATGGAGTACTCTCTGTGTCGAGGTGAGAAGACAAATGGTAGGCGGGTAATTCATATACAATAGCTGACAACAGCACTACAGATAAGATTAGAACCTCCTCGGGAAACAGGAAACCTCCTCAGGAAACGATCCAGATGCAAAAGAACCTCCTCAGGAAAGCTCCTCCATTAGCATGTTCACAGCCTGGGGAACTCCTACAAGATATTGACTCAGCCCCGCCCCACCTTCCGGTGCAGATATAAATTACCTGCCTACCATTTTCGCCTCACCTTGACACAGAGAGTACTCCATCTTTCTGTGTTATACCTCTGAGGATGCCAGTCAGAGCTACTGGCGAAACGTCAGGTCCTACAATGCCAAGACCACAGCCACACAGCCCGGAAAATCTGCAACAACTAATGAACTCCAGCCGTGAGAGCCTTCGACAACTCTATTTTATTGTTGGCTCCTTTTGTAACTAACTTCTGTTTGGAGCTGCGGTGGCTCAAGTGGTTAAGACGCTGAACTGCAGGCTGTGGAAGGTCGGTAGTTCAGCAGTTTGAGACCCGGGTGCCGCATGACGGAGTGAGCGCCCATCTCTAGTTCCAGCTCCTGCCAACCTAGCAGTTCGAAAGCAAGAAATTACAAGTAGATAAATAGGTACCGCTTCGGTGGGGAGATAACAGCGTTCCGTGCGCCTTGGTGTTTAGTCATGCCGGCCACATGACCACGGAAACGTCTTCGGACAGCGCTGGCTCTTCAGCTTTGAAACGGAGATGAGCACCGCAACCCTAGAGTCGGATCCGACTGGCTTTCAAGCAAGGGAACCTTTACCTTTACCTTTAACTTCTGTTTGCTGAGGGCTTGTGTGTTTGTGCGTTTGCATCCAGGGCCGCATTATGACTTTCACGGGCCCGGGCACTTTTGCCTTCGTGGGCCCCTCCCACCATAACAATACCAATATCAAAAATTATCTCTCCATATAAATAATCAGAATGACTCACCTGAAACCCATACTGAGGCAGGAGCTCTACGCTGCAAACAGGCTTTTTTTCAGGAGAGGTCCACTTCCAAATGCAAACTTTCTGGTGTAAAGAAGGCAAAGCGCTTTAGACCATAAACTCCCCTTCCCTTCTAAGCTTCCCAGACCTTCCACCTGCACCGTAGCCTGACACTTTGGCCCAATCTGCATCCAGCATTCATTCCGCTGTTTTACCGAACCCACGCTGGGACAGAAATTCCCCTCTACAACATTGCATGCCACTTTCACTTTGATTGATTGTCAGATTTCATGGCAGTGGCAATCCAGACGGCATGCCACTTTCACTCCGTTTGAGCGCTCAGTTTTATGGTAGCCGTCTGCATAGATTTGTAGCCATTTTATGGCCATTCAGGGGTGACTCTGCAGTCCGTACGGCGTTGGCCCGGCGTATTTGAATGTTGTTTTGAGCAGCATCTTTTTCTGTTCGAGTGTGGGTTTGGTAAAACAGGGGAGCAAATGCTAGATGCCGATTGGGCCATGGTTGGGGGATTCCCCCGGGTATTCAGCCTTGGTTCATAGATACCCCACCCCGCAAGGGTAGCTTCAGTCCCTATCCATTTCCTGCATCCCCTTCTTTCAGGAGGCATTCATATTGGTCTGCAGTAAGGCATTTAGAGGAGAAGGAGAAGAAGGAGGAGGAGGAGGAGGAGGAGAAGAAGAAGAGGAGGAGGAGGATAAGAGGAGGAGGATAAGAGGAGGAGGAAGAGGAGTTGATTGGATTTATACCCCGCCTTTGACTACCCAAAGGAGTCTCAGAGGGGCTTGCAAACTCCTCTCCCTTCCCCTCCCCACAGCAGACAACCCTGTGAGGTAGGTGGGGCTGAGAGAGCTCTTGACAGAAACTGCTTAGCTTCTGAGATCTGCTTAGCTTCCGAGATCTGGTGAGATCGGGCTAGGCTGGGCCACCCAAGTCAGGGCAAGACATAAAGAGAAGTCGTTTATTGCCTGCCTCTGCGTAGCAACCCTGGACTTCCTTGGTGGTCTCCCATCCAAGTCCTAACCAGGGCCGAACTGGATTAGCTTCCGAGATCCAATGATATTTGGCTAGCCTGGGCCATCTCGGTCAAGGCAAGAGACGTTCAGAGGTGGTTGGCCCTTGCCTGCCTCTGCGTAGCAACCCTGGACTTCCTTGGTGGGTCTCCCATCCAAGTCGTAACCGGGGCCGGCCCTGCTGAGCTTCTGAGGTTTGATGTTTGAGGCTTACAAACTCCTCTCCCTTCCCCTCCCCACAACAGACACCCTGTGAGGTAGGAGGGGCTGAGAGCCCCTTCCCCAACCTGAGAATCCCCAATGCGGATTGTTCACTGCAGAACAAAAGCTTCCCCCCCTACCTGCACTGCTCCGGCACCGACGGTAGCCAAAAACCTGGAATCGTGGGAAATTGCAATGGCGCCGACTCCGCCTTCCGGGTGGCTGTCGAATATCGTGTGCACGGGAATCCTGGAGGAGCAAGCAGTAGCCAATGAGAGGGGGAGCTGTGCATTTAGGCAGCTCTTCCTTCTAGGGTGGCCAACTTCCAGGTAGGGCCCGGAGGTCTCCCGGTTTTTAAAACCGATCTCCGGAGCGCACAGATCAGCCCCACCGGAGAAAATGCGGCTCTGGAGGGCGGGCTCTATGGCACTGTACTAGGGATGCCAGTCTCCAGGCGGGACCTGGAGATTCCCCAGAAGCACAGCTCCTCTCCAGATTACAGAGATCAGTTCCCCGGGAGGAAATGGGTGCTTTGGGAGGTGGACTCTGTGGCACTGTACCCCCCTGAAGTCCCTATTTGGTGTCGTGGTTAAGTGCGCGGACTCTAATCTGGGAGAACCGGGTTTGATTCCCCACTTCTCCACATGCAGCTGCCGGATGACCATGGGCAAGCCGTAGTTCCGACAAGAGCTGTTCTCTCAAGAGCAGTCCTCGAAAGAGCTCTCTCAGCCCCACCTGCCTCCCAGGGTGTCTGTTGTGGGGAAGGGAAAGGAGATTGTAAGCCCCTCTGAGACTCCCTTGGGTAGTGAAGGGTGGGGGTATAAATCCAATCTCTTCTTCTTCTTTTCTTCTATCCTCCCCATGCTCCACCCCAAACCTCCAGGCAGGGGCGGATGAAGGCTCACTGGTGGTGCCCTAAGCGCTGACCAGCCTTGGTGCCCCCCCCTCCTTTCCACACTGACGCCCAGTCTGTTTTAGTGGTTGACCTGTCTGACCAGATGTACAATGCAGGTGGCAGCAATACAAAAATTTATTCCTGTGATAACACAATAGACTGTACAAACTAAGCCAAGCTTGGGCTGCATAAAGTTCTGTTCACCCTCTTCGCGCAACTTTGCGGTGCCCCCTTTGGCCCTGGTGCCCTAAGCACGTGCCTAGTTTGCTTCACGGTTAATCCGGCCCTGCCGCCAGGAGTTTCCCAACCCGGAGGTGGCAGCCCAGCTCTTTACCCCGTGCTGTTTATCTTATTTATTTAATTTTATTTATACCCCGCCCTCCCCGCACGCGGGCTCAGGGCGGCTTACAGTATGAGGTGCATTACAGCACCATAATACACAATATGGCACTCAGTGCGATAAAAACACAATAAAACATTTTAAAACACTTTAATACAATGGGCAAGCGCCCAAGGATCCCGCGTGACAAACACCTCTCTCCATATTGCACCTGCCCTTGGGGCAAAGGGAGGATGATGTGGCCCTTTGATGTACCTTGGCCACTCAGCCTCCGGCAGCGGTGCTGCAATCCTGGCCCTCATTGATGGTAGTGGTAGCGGCGGCGGCTCCTATTCAAAAGCCTGGCGGAAGAGCTCCGTCTTGCAGGCCCTGCGGACCTGTAACAGGTCCCGCAGGGCCCTGATCTCTTCCGGGAGCTCATTCCACCAGGTAGGGGCCGCCACCGAAAAGGACCTGGCCCTCGTGGCAGCAAGCCTGGCCTCTTTAGGGCCCGGGGTCGCCAGGCGATGTTGCGACCCCGACCGTAGTGCTCTCTGGGACCTGTGCGGGGAAAGGCGGTCCCTCAGGTATGCTAGTGGCCAGGAAGGACCTGGCACCTCTACATTGCTCCATGCTGAGGCCCCTCCTCTCCCCAAACCAGATAACCAAGATCACTTCCCCTGGAGGAAATGGCTGCCTTGGAGGGTGGACTCTATGGGCCTTATACACCACGGAGGCCCCTCCCCTCCCCAAACCCTGCCCTCCCCAGGCTCCACCCCCAAATCTTCAGGTATTTCCCAATCCGGAGCTGGCGACCCTACACTCAGGTCACCCTGCAGGCTATCTGTGGAGGGGGAGTGGGAGATCAAACCCGGTTCTCCAGATTAGAGTCTGCCGCTCTTCACCACCGCGCCACACTGGCTCTCCCTCAGGCCAGGTACTCTCTCTTGGCCTAATCTACCTCGCAGGGTTGTTGTGAAGAGAAAATGGAGAAGGGGGAAATGTTGTAAGCTATTTTTAGGCCTCTGCTGGGGAGAGAAGGGGGGTATAAATGAAGCAGGTTAAAGAAATAAATGTATAGTAGCACATTGGCGGGCATCCCTGTGGATGACAAAGGCAGGGAAACTAGGTAGGAGTCTCTACCTACCTGGCGAACTCCCCAGGTAAGTAGAAATATATGACTTCCTAAATTAAAAACAGGAGCTGCGGTGGCTCAGTGGTTAAGACGCTGAACTGCAGGCTGTGGAAGGTCTGTAGTTCGGCAGTTCGAGACCCGAGTGTGCTGCGTGACGGAGTGAGCTCCCGTCTCTGGCCCCAGCTCCTGCCAACCTAGCAGTTCGAAAGCAAAATTGCAAGTAGATAAATAGGTACCACTTCGGTGGGAAGGTAACAGCGTTCTGTGCGCCTCGGTGTTCAGTCATGCCGGCCACATGACCACGGAGACATCTTTGGACAGCGCTGGCTCTTCGGCTTGGAAACGGAGATGAGCACTGCAACCCTAGAGTTGGATTTGACTGGCTTTTGAGCAGGGGAACCCTTACCTTTTACTTTAAGTTAAAAAAACGCTCTAAAATCAATGGCCTGAGGTGGACTGAGCATCCTCCAGGAGGGAGGGAATATTGAGAATACTGAGGAGAATATCAGTTAAAGGTAACGGTTTCCCTTGCTCGAAAGCCAGTCGAATCCAACTCTAGGGGCGGTGCTCATCTCCGTTTCCAAGCCGAAGAGCCAGCACTGTCCGAAGACATTTCCGTGGTCATGTGGCCGACGTGACTAGATGCCGAGGCGCACGAAACGCTGTTACCTTCCCACCGAAGCGGTACCTGTTTATCTGTTTACTGTATCTTGCTTTCGAACTGCTAGGTTGGCAGGAGCTGGGGCCAGAGATGGGAGCTCACTCCGTCATGCGGCACTCGGGTCTCGAACTGCTGAACTACAGACTTTCCAATCTGCAGCTTCAGCATCTTAACCTCTGAGCCACCGTGGCCCCTGAATATCAGTTAGAGGGGAAATAAGCCTCTTCCAGTCCCTGAGAGCTTAGAGAACCGCAGAGGGGG